TAAAAAGGTGACACATGACACAACAATGCCACATTCATCACAGATACGGCTTTAAAAGCAGCCCTTTGTTGTAACATTTTTTAGCGCTTTCAATACCCCACCATGATAGGAAACGTCTGGCGTATTTCAACCTGGTTTATTTAACATTAATAGCCTGTCTAATACGGCACAAAGTCTCATTCAAACTTTGCACTCTTCACCTGTGTTTGGGGAAATAAGGAAATCTGGTAACTGGAATGACTTTTGTGCCAACTGTATAAAGGATCTGCATGTTTCTGATTGACTAATCGCTATCTACACTCACTACATATATGATGATGGCTGCCTGTAATGAGGGGTGGCAGTCAAATGGTGTGCTACATTTCCCTAAGTATGTTAGTGGGGGAGCCAGGGCTGCTCTTAGTCACTGATTCTGTTCATTATTTCTATGGATAGAATTTCTAAGTGGGGACAAGGGCCAGAAAACTTCCACTTTGGTGGCCCTTGGTTTGTGTAAATCTTGTGGTTGTGTGGACTTCATCAGATGGTGGCCTCTAGCTTTCACCGGAGCAGTTTTCAGCAGCAGCAATGACAATTAGCACCTCCGAGTTTGAGGCAATGGTCATCAGCCATTAAAGGGAAAAAACACTGACAATGACAGTCTGGCGACCTGTCCAGGGTGTACCCTGCCTCTAGCCCTAACACAGCTGGGATAGGCTCCAGCGCCCCCTGTGACCCTGAAAAGGATAAGCAGAAGTGAATGGATGAATGGACACTGACACTTGGGGTCAGGGACAGGTTTCTGCCCCAAATGGAGAAGTTTAAAATATCTCTGGGTTCACGGATGAGGGGAGAAGGGAGCAGGAGATTGATGGATGGATTTAGGCTTCACCAGTCCATCATGACAAAGAAACATCTGAGCACTTCCTTATTGTGACGTATATGATCATTGCAGAGGCCTTTGTATCACATGGACAAAATTTGAAACTGTTCTCTCCATATTTAGCAGGTTAGGGTTTTGTAATACAAATGCAAATAATAATAATCCTTTGGCTTTACCTCAGCATCCAATGATTTTATACAAGACAGTGTAAGACAGGTGTACCAGGGAGTCCTCATCCTCAGAAAGGATGAAACTTTGTCAACAACTACATAAGTCGTCTTTGCCCTGCTGCCCATGTTACAGAGAATCAGGGATTTTGATTCGGACTGTGACGCTGTAAATGAAATGTAGTTTAATTCAATTCAATTCAATTCAATTTTATTTATATAGCGCCAAATCACAACAAAAGTCGCCTCAAGGCGCTTCATAGATACAGAGAAAAACCCAACAATCATGTGACCCCCTATGAGCAGCACTTTGGCGACAGTGGGAAGGAAAAACTCCCTTTTAACAGGAAGAAACCTCCAGCAGAACCAGGCTCAGGGAGGGGCGGGGCCATCTGCTGTGATTGGTTGGGGTGAGAGAAGGAAGACAGGATAAAGACATGCTGTGGAAGAGAGACAGAGGTTAATAACAGATATGATTCAATGCAGAGAGGTCTGTTAATACATAGTGAGTGAGAAAGGTGACTGGAAAGGAAAAACTCAATGCATCATGGGAATCCCCCGGCAGCCTACGTCTATTGCAGCATAACTAAGGGAGGATTCAGGGTCACAGTTATTCATTGCAGAAACTTAACAGCACCCCTCCTTCCTCCTTCCTCTCGTGTGTGTGTTTTACATGTGCACTCCTGTCACCCCTCAACATGTGCTCCCCTTTTTCTGCTTCAAGTATTTCATGATTTAGTAAAGTGTGCCTCATCATAATGCCCCATTTTCAAATGGCTTTTAATGGCTTATGTGGATCTGTGTGATGCCAGGATGTGTAGGAAAAATAAATTATGTCGGTTTCTCTAGAGGCTGTTACAGGATGCCACAAAGCCAATCCACCCCCCAAACTAGCAGTTAAACATCGCCAGGACCCTGTGGAACATTAATGCTCCAGCCGTCATCAACGCCTTCAATCATTATTCCCCTTGTTTACGTCATTTTGCAGTTAATGCAGACTAAAAACAAACAGCGGTTATGTCTAAAAGTCTCAGAATTCATAGTTGGTAGACCACTTGAAGTCACAGAGGATAACAGCACGGGCTTGTTTCTGTGATGCTTTAAAAGCTGGCAGATCTGTCTCCAACTAAAGAGATTTACTGCATGTTTATGGGTTTGGTCCTTTTTTGTCTTTATCAGCTATTAAATCAGACTTCAAACACATACGTTGCCTGTGGAAAAGATGCAAAGTAGTACAGCACTCCTTTGTGTTGTAAATATTTGCAACTGAATGAGTTGCTGATAAAAACGTCTGTTATCTCGCAAATGTTTTTGATTGCATATCTTTTGTACCTATAAGCTGTTTGTGTTGGCAGGCATTAGACTGCGAGAACTCCTACACCACACATCTTCAAACCTAATTAGACTGACGTAACGAGACGAATGCTGCTTCGCACATGTCTCTCAAAATGCAAACTTCTAAACGTGCGTCTGGAAGAATCAAACAAAGTTAACGCCGGAGCACACATGTTCGTCTTTGAGCGCAACATGTGGGGAAAGAATATGGAAACCGAAATGTGAGGGGGTTTGTTGTGCGTGGGCGGTTATAAGTTGTGTCAGGCAGATGGAGAAGCTCCGTCTGTGAATTTGTGTCCCATGCAGCCTCCCATCGGTACAACCAGTATAAACATCATATTTGGGAGAGAAGGTGGCTGCTAAGTGGTTGCTGTACTTCAGCAATGGCTTTTGAGGTGCTGTTTGAGCCTTTGAGTGGACATCACAGCATCTTATTATTCAGTATACTTGCTGCTTTTGGCGCAAATGATCTCTTTTTAAATCCTTTTTTCCAGCTCGTGGCGTCCTACGACGTCGTCCTGAGGGCATTAGTTCAAAGTCAGAGTAAAGAGAGTGTTCTCTGTCTCAACAATAGACGAGGCTTTCCTTAGTGAAGTTTAGATCACCATTCATTTTTCCAGCAGTTCTGACAATCCCGTTCTGTTTGCTCCACAGCCAGGTTGACAGTGAACATAAGGATCCTTTCCATCAGTCCAAAGCCTCATAATGTCCTGCCAAAAAATGATCTCTGATTGGTTTTGTTGTAAATGGAATCAGCGTTAACCATAAAATTAATTGTGTCATCATACTATTTTAAGTGCTCTAGCTGCATGTGCGATTGTGTCAGCATGATGGTTCATATGGTAAGAGATGAAGGCTTTCTGCAAGCCTTCATCTGTAGGATTTGAATCCATCTTTCTTTATTGGAGAAGTTTAACTTCCTCACTTAGCTCACTTATATTGAGCCTTTTGTGCATTGCAGCGAGTGACACAGTTAAAAAAATCTGTGGACACTACTGCTTCAAGTAGCACTCAGACCAGGGCTCTGCACCTGTGTGAGGAAAAAATCCACAGAGATGTTTTATCAATTTTTCTGAGGTTTTTTTTTTAGCTTCACCACATATGACTGCCCCAACATTTAAAATATCAAGTTCCGTGTCTTGTTACATTTAAGCTGATTCCTTACTAAAAGACACATAACACATTG